ACACACACATACACACCAGCACACGCACACAGGGGATTCATCCACAAACAGTTCCTGTGACTTCCTCAGGGATTGAATTGTTCCTGTGTCTGTAGAACTGAGTGGTAAACTTTATATGGTGGTGACAGGTCAGAACCCTCCTGTAACTGGCTGATTTGCAGTAGGGCAAATCAGTTCTTGAGCTCTGGAAATAACAACAAACATAAAATGTAGAGTAGAACGTTCTGGGCAGATCACAGGGCAGGAGCAAGGCCTGTCCTAGGGTTATCACCCGATCATCAGCCCGGAAGGGCGGGAAGTAGAACTGATGACAAGTGCTGACGCCTCTTACCCTCCTGCAGGACCCCAAAACAGAGATCTTACCTGAGAAGGGGTCTCTATTCCCTGGAACTTAGTGCTGTTGGTTTTATCAGTCCTCCGCTCCCCAAAAAAGAAAAGGCTTTCCTGCGAGGAAAGTGGGCAATCTTCTTTCTACTCCAGGCATTCTTGCAGTCTGGCTTCCTAAAGCTGGCAGTGTCAGGGTAGAGGCTCCCCCAAATAGCACAGTCGGAAACCCACAGCAGTGGGGGTATTCAGGAAACCAAAGACTTGTAAGCACAGAGGACCTAAAGCGGGGCAGGCTAGGAAGTGTCTGGTCTAGCCCTTCCACCTTCTGCTTTACAAACGGGAAACAGGCCAGGCTCAGTCCAGACAAGCAGGTCGGCTAAGCTCAGGCTCAGGGGCTCACTGATGCCGCTGGACTGGCTGGCCAGCAAGCCTGGGGGATTGCCCTCCTTCCACAGACCCCCCCTTGTTGGGGTGACGGGGGCACTCCATTGTGCGCGGCTGTTACGTAGGTGCTGGGGATCTGGGCTTGGGTCAGGCTCTTCACCCACACAATCTCCTTTAGAGGCACTATTCTAATTAATCTTGATATTATTCTTATAACAAAGGACAAAGGCATGTGATTGGGGGGGGGACGTTTTGGCCACTGAGGACTTTTCTTTTCTCTTTCTTTCTTTTCTTTTTCCTCTGATACCCCAGGCTGGCCTTGAGGGTAAGAGCTTCCCGCTTCAGCGTGGAATGCTGGGACCAGGGGCAAGTATCCACAAGCCTGACCAAGCCTTATACCTTTGCATGATTAGTTTAACCTATCTTACCTTAATCCTGAAGTTACCAAGCCCTGAGTCTATTAAAATGTTGGTATTGTATATATCATGATCTTTATACTATTAAAAAAATATTGCTCAAAATGTGACACATCTTAATTAATGGGGTATTTTGCATTCTCTTAAGTTTTGTGTCCCTCTGACCTCAGCTGAGTCCTGGCCCAGAACAAGAGATAGGTCAGCTACTGATCACATTTAAACCACAGACTACTAAGAGTAGGGTTTCTGAAAAACAATACAAAACAAAAAAACACCTCTCTAGTTTAACTTACATGAGTCATGACCCAAAGAATCTTAACATTTTACAGTGACGCTTCAGAATAAGCAGATTCAACCCACACGAGAGAGTATAGTGATGTTTTTTCATACCTTTGCACTTAAAACTATGTCATCAGCAAGGAGGCACGCGCAAATCATGGTTCCAGTTCTTCCTGGAAAGAAAAGGCCATTTAAGGAGTCACTGCTCATCCTAACGCTCAACTTAAAAACTCACTCAGAGGACCTGGGGAGATGATTCACTTCGTGACATGCAGAAAGCATCAGGCCTTGAGTTTGGGTCCTAGCAGCCACGTGAAAGCTGTTGTGACAGTGTTAACCTTGGCTCCAGCACTGGGAGATGGAATCGGGGTGCAGAGGCTTGTTAGCCAAAACAGCTAGCTCTGGGTCCAGGGAGAGAACCTGTCTCAAAAAAATAAGGTGGGGCACCAGCAAGACAGATCAGTGTGTAAGGCGCTTGTTGCATGAGCTGACAACCTAAATTCAATCCCCAGTGCACTCACACAGTCACAAACGTAAGCAGTTATACAAACACTCACACACATGCAATGCATGTACACTCAGACACATATATACAGAAAACACACACCTACACTCACACACACAACACACACATACTTACACATGCACACACACACACACACATGAATGTACATATTAACACTCATACACACACATACACTTAAAGACACACACTCATACACCACTCACACACATACACACACACCCTCAGGCACGCACACACTCACGCCATATAAATTAACACACGATAGTTATTTTTTAAGGTGAAAATCAATTGAGGAAGAAATACCAAGGTCTACCCCTGACAACCAGCAGAAATACCCAAACAGCATTTTGTGTAAGTAAATGTGTCTGTCCCAAATATTTTCATTCAGAAGTAGCCAAAATCACTACCCTGTGTCTGTACCTGGAACTCAGTGTCCTACTGTGGGCACAAGACACAACTGTTGCTGAGGAGAGCTTTTCTTCAGTCTCTGATGCACAAATTGCAATAAAGGCAAAGAGGGTCATCTCTGCTAGGTAGGACTCTAACCCTAACCCACTACTCATATTCCTGATTTTTGTTTTTTGGTTCTCTCTCTCCATCTTCTTTACAGCCTGATCCCAGTTCCCTTCCCCCTGTCCTCCCAGTCCCACCCTCATGACCCCACCCTCCAAATTCCCCCTCTCTCCTTCTTCTCAAAGAAGGGAATCCCCCATGGGTACCCACTCTCTGGCACCTCAGGTCACAGCAGGACCAAGTGTATCCTCTCCCACTGAGGCCAGACAAGGCAGCTGAGCCAGGGAAAAGGGATGCAAAGGCAGGCAACAGAGTCAGAGACAGCCACTACTCCCGTTGTTAGGAGACTCACATGATGACGAAGGTACACATCTGCTACACGTGTGTTCCTAGGTCCGGCCTGTGCCTGCGCTTTGGTTGGTGGTTCCCTCTCTGTGAGCCCCCAGGGGCCCAGCTTAGTTATATCTGGTTTTTGTAGTGAATATAAAGGAAACACCTATAACACCGTGTAGCCTATGCAGTGCCCATCATTCCTTCCAGTTAAGGGTTCTTAGTTAACTAAAAACAAAGACAAACAAAAAACTACCCATAGTCCCATGCAGCACAGAGCGCCCTCAAGGTCACTACATAGCCAAGGATAAGGATGCCCTTGGCCTTCCTTTTGCCTCTACCCTCCACATACTGAGGTTACAGGGGTGCACCGCCACATCTGACTTAAGAATTTCTAATTGTATTGAAGTTTTCAGAGGGATAGAGAAAATTGTATACTTACCAGTATTTTTATTAAAATTGTTTCATTTCTCTCCTCTTCATTTCCCTCCTTCTCTTTTTGCTTTATCAAGCACACACCTTTGACTGTGTACCTGACCCTACTTCAGCTTTATGCTTTATTCCAATGTATGTTTTTCGTCTGTCATACAAACTTTGAGCTCTGGAAGCATGCTACTTCTTTTATCTTGTACAGTAATTCGTATCTTTGGACTTAGTCAACACAAACTGAACTTAATTATCTTACACAGTTCTGAATTTAACCTTGTTATATGAGAGGCACATTTTCTGTTTTGCCCTTTACTTTTTCCAATGAATTACAGTTGTGGTTTTAATATATAACAAGCACACAAATACCCCTACCAAGACTCCTGTGTTTGAAATCTGGGTCCCAAGCTAATGGTGCAGTTTCTAAAGGCTGTGCGCTTAGGAGATGGTGGGTGGTCTGGCTAACAGAAGTAGATGCTGGGCATGATATTTGCTTCTGATTCTGAACTCCAAGAACTCTGGTTTTTTTTTTAACTTATCTATTCATTTTACAACCTGATTACAGCCCCCTCCCTCTTCGCCTCTTGGTCCCACTCACCCTCTCTCTTCTCCCCTTTCCCCTCCCCACTCCTCAGATAAGGGGAGCCCCTTCCCCAAGAACCTTGAGCTCATTGGCACAGGAGATAACTTCCTGAACAGAATACCAGCAGCTCAGGCTCTAAAGATCTACATTTAATAAATGGGACCTTTCGAAACTGAAAATCTTCTGTAAGACAAAGGACACTGTCAGTAAAATGAAAGTCTACAGACTGGGAAAAGATCATCACCAATCCTACATCCAACAGAGGGCTAATAGTCAAGATATATAAGAACTCAAGAAATTGAACACCTTGATGAGCTGAGTCCAATCGCCAAGACCTGCATGGGAGAAGGAAAGAACAGACTCTGACAAGTTGTCTTCCATATACACTGACACACACATGCAGAGACAGACAGACAGACAGACACAGACAGACACAGAGACACAGAGAAAAAAGAAAAGGAGCAAGGGAGGGAGGGAAGGAAGAAAGAAAGAGAGAAAGGTAATAAAATGAAAAGCCAACAGGTAAACCAGACCGAAGTCTTTGGGTAGTTACTAAAAGGGTAGCTGGAAGATACAGCCTAGTGGGAGAGCGTTTGCCCAGCTTACGTGTACAAGTCTCTGGTTTGAGACGGAAACGAGTCAGCTAGTTAATGAATTACAGAGTAGAGCATTAGGGAAGCAATTATGAAAATTCAGTTAGCCTCTCCCTAACCCTCTTTACAGAACATTTTGAGTAAAAGCTGACTGCAGGACATCTAAGTCCACTGCAACCGTTCTGCCCCATGAAAGGAGAGCAGACACGGTTCCGGACCAGACATCCCGTGTGGCTTCTCTTCCCTGTTCTTTCTCATATAAGGCTCTTTTTGTCCTGAAAAAAATGACATTAAAAACCTGAGGTGGAGACTAAGATCTGTCTTCCTCGGGGGCTTTGCCTGAACCTGTTTCCCTCCATCATTTTCTGTGCCACGGGTCTTCAGCCAAGTGGTGAACAGCAGGAAGCTCAAATCCCAGTGACGGATGGTTATGGCACAGCCAGCAGGGAGAAAGAAGCTGACGCTGAGAGTCACTACAGTGTTTCCATGGTGGGGGTGGGGCACAGAAATATCTCATAAAAGGGATCTCAGCTCAACTGCTAGTGGCTAGTTGAATTTATGGCTGCAACTATAGTAACACGTAAGAAATGGCTAGAAAATGCTCTATTACACAGTAATGGCTACGTTGATTGTTGGTCAAAGAAAGGAGGTTTTGATTGGGGAAAGCTGAATCAGTTCCATCCTGGCCCCAGATATCTGGAAAAGTACTTTGGTTGGAGTACTTCATCAAGTGTTTTAGTTTTTGAGGAGCTTACAAGATTCAGCTTAGGAATATCACACCCATATGCACTGTCATCACTCTTTGGGGTTTAAGCAACTGTTTAGACCTCTTTGAGACCATTTCCCCCCCAGTACTGATTCATTTAAGTTACCTCCACCAACTAAGCATTTGTGCAAGTGGGATGGGATTAAAGTCCTGGGAAATTTGTTTGGAGAGTACCTGTTTGGTTTGACTTACACTTTTCTTTTTATAGCAACTCTGTGAGTGTGTGTTACATGTATGTATTTGTGCATTTGAGATAAGGATTTAATGGTCACAAAGCTCACTGATTTGCTACAGTAGCTTACTCATGAGCCCTAGACATCTGTCTGTCTCAGCCCCGCACATGCTGGTTACAGACAGGCTGGTTTTCACATGTGTTCTGGGGATCAGAACTCAGGTCATTGTGTTTACAGAAAAAGCACTTTGCTGAGTGAGCTATTTTCTCAACTCCTCTTTTTAAAAAAATGTTAAAACCAGTTCTGAACTTGCTTTATTTAAAAATAAAATACACAATTTCACCATACCAGAGACCACTACACAAAACCACAACGAATCAAAATGCAGAGTTGTGGAGCCCAGTCCCATTGAATACAGCTACAAAACATGGCCACACCTAAGACTCAGGGGACATTGTGGAAGAGGGGGGCAGATAGACTGTAAGTCAGAGGATCAGGGAGTTTGTTGTGAGATTGTGTCTTCTAGTGACATCAGATCTGTAGAGATTGTGTCTTCTAGTGACGTCAGATCCGTAAGGTCTCAACATCATGACTGCCTAAAGGTGAGCTGAACAAGGAGGACACCAGTGAACACTCTAAACTGGGCAGAAAAAAGGCCTCAACCCTACACAAAGAACTCCAGTCAACTGAGAAAAGATGAGAATGGGAGAGTTGGTCCTTTCCAGGGAAGATCACCCTGACTGATTGTTCAGTATCAAATAGTCACCCCTAAAAACATACATACAGGTAATGTTGTATGGACTCAACAGGTTGTATTGGGGAATACAAAATACACACAGGCATACATACATACACAAATACATATAATCATTCAGCAACAGCTGATGAAAAGAGAGGCCAGGAGTTTGAAGGAGAGCGGGAAAGGGTATGTGAAAAGGTTTGCAGGTAGGGTAGAAAAAGGAGAAATGTAATTAAAATAAAAATCTCTAAAATAAAAGTGAAAGCTCACAAAGTGTAGATTGTGTTGCTCATGTCCTCTCGAATGGGGGTTCTCCCAGTGGGGCATGAAGGACCTGTCAGACCTCTGAAGGGACTGATTCTTCCTTTCTAAGAAACTATGGATTGCTAATAGCGCCTTAGTTAGGGGTGGGACTTTGCGCCCACCTCCTACTCTATAATGGGATTTTTGTCTGGCTTGAACTGTCACAACTGCTGTGAGTTCCTATGTTCAACTGCCTTTCTTCATCAGGAAAATATTGTTTCCTTATGGCTATATACTACTTCCAACTCATACAGTCTTCCCCCCTCCCCCAATGATCCCTGGGCCTTGGAAAGAGGGTGTGTAATATAGCTGATCCATTCAGGGCTGAGCGCTCTGTAGTCTTTCATTCTTTATATCTTGACTAGTTGTGGGTCTCTGTATTAGTCACCATTTTAGAAAGCAGAAGCGCCTCTGATGATGGGCGAGGGATGTGCTAGTCAATGGTCTAACAGTATGTCATTAGGAGTTATTTTAGTCCTATGTCCATTTAACAGAGTCTCTCTTAGACTCTGTGGACAATCTTATCACAGAGCCAGTAATAGTGTCGGGTGTGGGTTTCAATCTGTGGAATGGTCCTCAAATCTAATAAAAAAGTGGTTGGTTATTCCCATTCCAGCCATAAGCATGCCTTGTCCACTGGCCATTACTGAGGTTCAGAGGGTTCACAGCAGGATAAGATGCTTTACCTTCTGCCCCTGGCAGCATGAATAGTAAGCTTCCGAACTGTGAAAGCTAGCCAGCAGGGATGAAGCTTCCAAGGGAGAACCCTGCTTGATTTCCCATTGTTCTATGATTAATGTGTGTGGTCTCATCAGCAACAGAGTCTTACCATCACGTTCTGGAGGGACACCAAGAGCATTGGCAGTAGCCTGTAATGTTTGGGGATGTATAGGACATCACCGGGCTACAACTCCAAAAGAGGGAACCCATTCCTCTTACATGGGGCATGTAACTAAGAAGGGAGCCCTCAAAAGATAAAATATGAATGGCCAAGAAAAGGTTTGTTTTTTTAATGTCCAATAGTCTTAGGCATTAGGGAAATGCAAATTAAAATTAGTTTGAGGTTTCATCTTACCGAAGTCAGA